CAATTCATTATAAATAAAGGGTGGGCCCCACCTGTGGCATGAAATATCCATCTTGGAGCAAGGGGAACCTTTACAAATAACATTTACTTATGTTTAAGAAAAATACTTTGAAATTGAGAAAAAACCCCAAGCCACTTTCAGTTTTATAGTATTTTCGATTCTTTTCACAAAGGGAGGTAAAACTAAAACCAAACATTTACTGGGTGCTGGAAGACCAAATCAAGCACATATGATGTGTTTCAACAGCAGCCCAGTGAAATAATCAATAACCTCCAATTCAGGTTATTGACTTTTGCACACCCTTGCAGGCATGAGGCTCCAGACGAAGGCATCAGAATCACCAAATTGTTCAATTTGCTCTCCTTCAGATATTTCACACTGACATTTTTTATGATGGTGTGTGGGAGCTTGTTCGAGAGAAGCTCTTGAAAGTCAAAGTGGACTTTTAACTCCCCAGATTCCTTCTTTTGGTTCATTTTGGGATCTAGGGCTGCTTTGTGCAAAGACAGAAAGAAATAGGAAATATTCCCCTTGCCTCTGTTTTGTCCTCTCTTACAATTTAAAGGGACTTCAGGAAGAAAACCACCTTCTGCTGCTCCCTCTGTTTAATCACATCAAAATTACAAGAGATTACACATCTATAAACTGCATTAAAATGGGGAAAAAGGTGCCTTTGTGTGCCCCACATTTGCTCCCCCAAAACCCCATCCTGTCTTTTCACGAGACTGTTTGAATAACAAAATTCTGCACTCTCTAACAGCCACAATAACAAGTTGTTTGGACCACTGTGAACCAGCAAGAGCTTGTTAAGTCCCAGAGAATGTTTGCAGCTATTTTAGCACGGGTGTGATTTGTTATGACATGGCAGAACTCCATCATTTCGCCAGGTTTAATGGGTAATGGATGTGTCTGAGCACAGACTTCTTGCAAGGCCACAAGGAGCTTTCAGCAATAACCCTTGAGGATGAATTGGGCAAACTCATCTTGCAACATCTCCAAATCTGCAGAGAAAATGATGTGAACTATGGCAAATCACCGGGATTCGGGGACAGTGCACCAGACTAGAAGATTAAAGTTCTGCTCCAGCTCCCTCAAGACACAGTTAGGTCAGTGCTTGGCCCTGTTCCTTTGCCAAGGATTTAGATGATGAGCTTTCCAGGGCAGGGGCTGATGTAAAACGAGAATCAGCTCTTGTTTAAGTCCTCTCTGTATTCATTTCATGAGAATAAAGATAAGAATTTAAAAAAAAAAAAAAAAAAAAAAAGATCAGATTCAAGAATGCCAGCTCTTTTCACCCTGGTTCAACAGATGCATTTAAGTAAGGAAATTTAAGATATAACAATCTATTTCCTTGTACTACTCCTTGTTGTTTGAGAAGCACCTCGCTGGGGTTTTTCCCCTCTTCAGAGAGGGAAGCCTTGAGCATTTGAAAATCGTGTCCTGAGCTCATGTGCCTGGTTTTGCACGAGGCCCTGACAGCCACCCATACTTATAATCATATATATAATCAAATATAATCCTTACAGAACATGCAGAGGGCTGAAAATGCACCGATCTCCAGTGCAACACAGAAAACATGCAGGAAATCAGCTGGGCCCAATAACACTGAGGAAGAAACTTTTACGAGCTCCATTCAACAGATCAACCCCGTGTGGTGCAAATGGGGAGGATTTCTTTTAATGATCATCAAATCAGAGCTGTCAAATTGACTGTGAGGGAAGGAGGGAGAGCAGTACATGTAAATGGTTCTGGCTGCAGGTTGGGACCCACATTTGCTCCTCATCCTCCACGTCTGGAGGGATCCAAACCCTCCTGCTCCCAGGAGATGCCAAGCCTGCCATTTGTGTTGGAAGGTCTCCAGTGCTCACTTTGAGCTTCCTTGGAGTTTGTTTCTGACTAGCAGGGGAAAAAAAAAAAAAAAAAAAGACAGTTTAACATTAATCAGCTACCACCAGTTTTGCTGGAAACTGTTGAAAACGTTTAACAGCTTGTCCTCGGGAGGAGGTGCCACAATGAGCACATCAAGTGTTTTCTCTAAGTTACTCTTCTTCAAGTCAGGCTGAAAAATGAACCCTGGGTATAAAGTGAGTTTAGAGACAGACAGAAGGTTTTAGGAGACACAAAACTCTGTGGCCCAGGAAATCAGTCCAGGAAGAGATGACAGAATCATAGAATGGGTTGGGTCAGAAGGGACCTGAAGACCATCCAGTTCCATCCTCCTTGCCATGGGCAGGGACACCTTCCACCAGCCCAGGCTGCTCCAACCTGGCCTTGGACACTCCCAGGGCTGGGGCAGCCACAGCTTCTCTGGGCAACCTGTGCCAGGGCCTGCCCACCCTCCTAGGGAAGGATTCCCTCCCATATCCCACCTAACCCTGCCCTCTGGCAGTGGGAAGCCATTTCCCTTGTCCTATTTCTCCAGGCTCTTCTGAACAGTCTCTCTCCATCTCTCTTGTGGGCTCCCTGTGAGGGAGGACAACACTGGCATTGACTGGGACTGGGGCTCACACGTGACTCCAACAAAGCCCAGAGCGAGGCAGGGGTAGAGATCTGTCCCTTCCTCTGCCCCAGGATTCCATCCCTGCTCTCCCTTCCTCCTTAATGAACAGTCACTCAGAACAGACCAATGGTCACATCACAACTCGTCCCTGGATCCAAAATCTGTCCCTTTCCCTCCTCCAGCTCCACACTCCACCAGGCTGCAGTGCTCTGCTCATCGGTGCCATCGTGGCACAAACCTGCCAGGCACGTAGAACTTAATGACCTAATCCTCCCTCTTTCACAAAGACCAGATTAGCTTTAAGTTAAATACTCTTGTTCCTTAAATTTCCTCCTTGTCAGGATGCCATGGGAAGCTCTTAATCTTAGGAAAAAAGAGCCTGAGGACATTCTGATGCTTCTGCATGAAGACAGAAAGCAGTCCACAGTGCCAAGATAAAGCTGAGGTATTAAACTAATCCCCCAGACCTGGGGTGTGCAGGCAGGAGGGGTGGCTGCTGCTCATCGATCGCCAGGGCTGCAATCAGGATCCTGCCGGGAGCATCCCGCGCTCCATGAACAGCACACCCAGCACACCAGGGCTGTGAGGCACTTGTGCAACTTCTCAGCTGCAAAGAAATCCAATAAACCTGTGAATTAGCCCCAGAAGCCCAGGGGCTGATGAATCCAGCCAGCCTGCCCACACTTGCCACAGTCCTTTGCCGGCAGGGCCAGCGGAGCAGCTCCACGGAGGGGATGCTGTGCAGGGAGAGGAGGAGCACCCCAAACCACCCCTCTGCTCCACAGCAACCAAACCTGCAAGTGCCCTCCAGCTGGATGGCTGGAAAGATGAATTTTCCCTTGCCAGGAGTGACACCAAAGGGTGTCTGGACTGGCAGTACCTGACACACCAGGAGCTCCTGCAGCCAAGATTCCACCTCTCACCAGGCTGCTTGGATTGGAGCCTGGTCTTAGACAACAGAAAGGAAAAATCTTCCTAAACTTGAAATAAAACAGCAGAGCCTTTGCCCCCAGGGAAAGACTATAGCACATTTATGAAGCAACTAATCTTCTTTTCACTCTTCCCATACACAGGCTTCGAGAGGCCACGGGCATTTTATTTAACACCATGAACCCGACTGTGGCACCTCCAGCTTGGATCCCCACTGCTCACTGCTCCACACAGCCAGCAACACACTGCAAGGGATCCAATTCCTGTACAGCTTCCCTGGGGCAGCACAGCCTTCCAGAGATCAGGGCAACCAGGGGGATCTGCCTGAGGAGGCAAGTTCACATCACTCACTGCCCAGCAAACTGTCTCTGTATCAGCTAAAGACAACTCAAAGGCAAGTCTGCAGAAGCAGGTTAAACATCACTGTATGATATCAAGCACTGGCTTCTACAATTTCATATTTTTAAGATCAGATAAAAAAGGAAAGAAAGGGTTTTTTTCCCTGCACATCTCTTTATAGACTTTCCAACAGCTTACACACAAAGCATTTAGACACTTTAATTTCCACTCCAATATGAATACTCTAACCCCAAATGAAACCTATTAAAAATTAAATTCTTATATTAAGTTTAAGATGCGTCTCTTTTCTCCCCAGGTCCCATTAAACACTCTCCCTACACACAGTTTAGAAGACAGAAGAGATCCTAGAGAATATTTACAAAGAGAACAAAACCCCCTGAGGGTTTTTATGTTACTACAACATTAATCTATTTTAATCACACAACAGATTAAAACCAAACAACATTAAATGGTTCTGCAAAGTACCCAGTGAAAGTCTATCTTTGTTGCACAAAAAAAAAAAACCTCAGGAAAAAATTAAAGTGCTTGGAAACAGCGTTATTATGTTGTTCCACAGAGACAGAGCACAGCAAAATCCAGACTGGGCCACAGAGCCCCTGGTGGGAAGAAGATGACAGAATCATGGAATACCAGACTGGTTTGGGTTGGAAGGGACCTGAAAGGTCCATCTTGTTCACCCACCTGCCATGGGCAGGGACACCTTCCACCAACCCAGGCTGCTCCAACCCAGCCTTGGACACTCCCAGGGATGGGGCAGCCACAGCTTCTCTGGACAAACCATTCTAGGGTTCTGTGATTACTTCAGCAATTGCTTCTGTCAGAAATCTTGGTAACTATGACATCTCTATTTCCCTCACACCCTGTCCCAGGCCCTCCAGCCTGTTCTCACACAGTGCCCTTTGCTGTGTGAGCACCTCCTGTGCCCACCCCCAAACCCCAACCTCAGCTCTGTTTTGGGGGGATGGAGCCCAAGGAGCAGAGCCTGTTCCTCAGAAGTTGCCTTGAGCAGCTGCTGTGAACAACAGCCCTGCTTTCCATCCCAAGCTCTAAGATTTAATTCAGCCTTTAATTATTTACACCTTTTTTAACAGTTTCAGTGCAGTGAATGAAAATATCTGTTGAGCTGACCACAGGTCATTGCCCTGAATAACCCCAGCTAATTTAGAGGCTGGGGCTGCTGATGAGCAGTTCATTCTTCCAGTAGCCCCCATCTCAGAGCTGCTAACACAGAATCTCCTCTGCTGCTGCTGCAGCTGCTCAGTGGCCTGGTTATCTCACTCTGATGCTCAAGGTTGTTTTTTCTCATCCTGAATAACCCAAATAACTGCACTCCTGTAATTGAGTTTGCCATCTCACTGCCCAACAGACTCCTGATGAAGAACTGCAGCATTCTCCAGGATGGGTTTTGCTGCGTCCCAGATCAGATCCATTCACTGCTGCAAAGCTGAGCCTTTCCAGGAGTCACAAGCCAGTGTGTTCCACCACAGTTTTACAACCACCTTTGCCCAGCAGACATTGTAAACGAGCAGTTACACTGGAGCTTGAAACTATCTAAAGAAACTACAAAGAAAAAAAAACCTGCTCTTGTTCAAAGCTGTTAGATTTACTGAAACGAGTGGAAGCATTTCACAGGGATGCTTGGATAATATGGGGTGCTCTAGGCAGCCCTTTTATCTCAACATGTACCAACTGAGCTGCCAAAGCAAACCAAAACCTTCAAGGGAACGATTTGTGTGATTACTCCAGATTTACCAGGAGATAGAGGTGGGAGTAGCTGCGGTGAAGTTGTTTCTGGCAGCATCACTACTGCTCTGGAGGGGAAAAATCCAGGGGATTCTGCACAACAGTTGCATTAAAATCTTCCACTTTGTTTACTCAGTGGATTTACTACCAACGTGGTGCAATCCCTGACAGGATTTGATTACTTCATCTCAACATTCTTTCTTCCCAAACCAGCTGCTGCAACGGATAATCCATATTCAACCATGGAGGACAAAGAGGAAGAATGAACAAACTTGATCCCCTTCTTGTACTGTTTGGGTCTCTCTTTCTAGGCTGAGAGCCAGTGAAGGAGGGCTGCTGACCTCCTTTGAGGTAAATAGTCTCCTCCATCTTGTAGGTTCCCTTCAGGAGGAGTCAGAAAACTTTCTAGCATTTCCAGTCTCAAGTAAAAAGCCCCCCACAAGTCAATGCCCCCTCTCCCAGGAACCTGCTTTAAAAACCATGGCATGTATATCCAGGGTTTTCTTTATTTGCATTGCAATTTTTAGCCTCATGAAAGGGAATGCCTTTCACATAATGATATTACTTAAGGATCTAAGATAACAACAACAACAAAAAAAAAAAGATGATGGGGCTTGTGATAAAATCATGAAAGGCAGAAATGCTGCACCTTATTACCACTCCATGGTAATTCAGCTTCTCTTGGTAGTGGTAAGGGCCTCTCTAAGAGCAGACAAAAGCCTGTTGTTGAGCTCTGCTAATGATGCAGAAGATGTAACTGTAATGCAGCTGAGGTGCCAGCTCCTTCCAGGGCCACACACTTGGCAGGTAACATCATCCTCTGCACTTTACAGGTTTTCACAGTAAAAAGTCACTTTTCAAAATCACATGAAATCATATTTTGAACGAACTTTAAGCTGCCTAAGTGACCATAAACTCGGGGAAGGAAGAAATAATGTGCCTGTGCCATGGTGAATGGATGGTGTAAATGCACCTCAGATGTTGGGTAAGTGCAGCCATTCAGTGGGTGAATCACTGCAGGGTTTTTCTGCCTCAGACTGCAGGCACTGTACCCACACTGGGTTTGGAACCAACTGCTACAGCTAGAAGACATGAGCTTTAAAAGATAACAGCAAATCCTTAAGGACAATAAATGCTCAGCTTCATGCTTATCCAAGCTCCTGGAGTGCTTCCTCTGAGCCACGGAATCATCAAGGTTGGAAAAGACCCCAAAGATCGTTGAGTCCGACCATTAAAAAATAAAAAGTGACTTTCAAAACACGCCCTGACATCCCCTCTCTGCCACCACGGTGTGAGAACAGGGTCTGAATCACTCAAAATGTCAGACTATCCACCCCGTGGGTTGTACAGCTCCAGAGGATCCCCTGGCACTACGGGTGAGGGGGTGTGCATTAAATACTGACCCAAAAGGAAAAGCACCACTGCAGCATCAGCAGAAGAGTGAGATCTCAGCAGCTCTCACACCCAAAGGGTTTCAGGCGAAGTGTGAAGAAACTTCTTAATATTTCTACTCCCAAAATAATCCTGGGTATCTGTCCTAGAACTCCAATTTTGGATATAAGGAATGATAACAGCTTGCTCAAGTAAAAACTATTCATAAAGGAGTATTTCACCTAAATAAGGGTAATGATTTGTTATTATTGGTTGCATGATCTGATACACAAGAAACACAGCAGAGAAAATCAGAGTAAGAAAAGAATGCTTTCTCCATCTGTGCTGTTTTCTTGAAATTAAATCTTCCAGGGATTCTTCTGTAGCCTGATGCCAGCCCTTTCCCACACCAGTCTGCAGTCAGGAATCACTAAGCCTGGGAGTTTGGGCTGGTCTATCATGTCCAGCCTCCTCTCTGCTAAACAGCTCTTGTCCCACAAAAATAAATAAAATTACTCACTAAATGGATTTTGTTTTTAAAAAGAAGAACACATTGACTTTTAGATTTTAAATTCCAATATAGCCAATTAAATTAAAACAAAGTATGCACTGCCAAATGTTTTTGTTAATAAGACTAAATCACTCCAGAAATCGAACATCAGTTAATCTCCCAGCTAAGAATATCACGTAGAGAAGACCAGAGGATCTGCCAGTAATCTTAAAATGAAGCCTGATAAGGCAAAAAAAATAATTCACAGCAGCTTGTGATCACTTAATGTTCTCATTGCTGGTTAATCCATCCAGCATCAAGGGGTGCTCACTGATCCAGGGTCACAGGGCTTTTCCAAAATAATCCCCAGGAAGAAATAGTCCAAAAGGGTTATATTTAACACCGTATCACTTTCAGGCTAAAAAAGTGCTTTCAGCTACTTAATCCCTTTCTGAAAGAGGTGGCCTCGTGTTTGGTAATCAGTGACTGCTTCTGTTGTGTTGTTGCCATAACAGATGAGAGGAGCTTTGAGCGCTGCCCTTTCTCCCCTGCCCTGACACATCTCAGGTTGTTAATCCTGCCCCGGAGCCGACTCGGCCCATCTTTCATCTCCCCTCGGGGGAGCAGCCGGGGCTCCTGGGGGAGATGGGTCATGGAGAGCTCTGCTTTGGGATGGGGCTGGCACAGGGAAAAGGGGATGGTTGGGTTTGGGATCCCCACAGGTGGTGCATAGTCCTGGCCACGTGGCTGAAGATGCAGCACAGAATCCCTTCTCCCAGCTCTGTGGACAGCTCAGCCTCTGCCATGATAAAGGCTCTGGGTCAGAGCAGCAGAGACACTGCTGTGGAACGAGAGGGAAATGAGAAAAATCGAGAATGTGGACCAGTTATGAGCCTTAAAAACACCCTCCTGGACTAGGAGTAGGAGGAGGATTAAGCTCTGTGAGCCAGCAGTGCCCTGGCAGCCAGGAGGGACATCCCTGTCCTGGGGGCAGCAGGGAGGGGATTGTCCCGCTCTGCTCTGCCCTGGGGCGGCCTCACCTCAACATTGGGGCAGTTTGGGGGGACACAATGGAAGGGAGAGATTGAGCCATTGGAGAGTGTCCAAAGGAGGCCACGAGGATGGGGAAGGGCCTGGATTTGAAGGCGTGTAAGGACACTGAGGGCACTTGGTGTGTTCAGCTGGAGCAGAGGAGACTGAGGGGAGACCTCCCTGCAGTTCCAACTGCCTGGGCAGGGGCAGAGGAGGGGCAGGACTGAGCTCTGCTCTGGGGGGAGCAGGGACAGCCCCCAGGGAATGGCTGGAGCTGTG